GCCACAGACATAGCAATCTCCACACATACATGCACAACCAACACACATACAAACACAGCCTACATAAATTTGTGTTTTTCGTTGTTCGTCCATCACGAGAGATGAAGACCACATTTCATCTAAAGTAGTAATGATTAATAATTATGAGTACGAAGGTGGCTGATTAGTCCAAGATGAGCCTGGAAAGTTCTTGAGCAGTGCGGGCAACAGACAGAAGCCATAGTAAGTGTGGGATTAGCAGTACGATACTTTCTAGTCTGTCTCCGTTTCTCTGCCTGTGCAACCTCCGCTGCCTGGCGTGCCGATGCACCATACCTGAGGGACGTACACCATACAGAACGGTCTTGTGCAGCAGCCTCTCACGTAGCTATGTTGATGCCAAAAGAATTGAGAGCAGTCTTTAGAATGTCCTTATAACGCTTTTTCTGTCATCCCTGGGACCTCTTCCCTTGCGGAGCTCGCCATAATATACTCTCTTTGTGAGGCGACATTCTGGCATGCGGGTTAGGTGACCAGCCCAACGCAGCTGATAATTCTTCACTATCGTATGGATGCTAGGCAGGGTTTCCCTCAAAAGAACCACGGTATTTGGGATCTTATCTTGCCATTTGATTTTGAGCAGCTGTCTGAGACATTTTAAATTAAACTGATTCAACATTTTAGCATGGCGCTGATACAGTCCACGTTTACCAAGCGTAGAGCAGTACTGGAAGAATTACAGCTGTGTAAACCTTTAGCTTGGTCAGCAGGGAGATAACCACTTCTGTTCCAGACACTGGTATAAAGTCTGCTGGCCTTTGAGATTCCAACATTGATCTCATCGTCGATGTTGACTCTCCGAGATAGGGTACTGTCAAGATAAGTGAATCTGTCGACCACGTTAAGCTTTTGATCATGTATGGTTATAGTGGGATAACATAAATTGTTTCTGGGTGCCGGTTGATAGATAACCACAGTTTTATTAGTATGGATGCTAGTTAGCTTTTCGAGGTTGGTATTTAGGATTCAATCTTGCCATTTAATTTGAGCAGCTTTCTGTTGCATACACACACTCAGATTTAACATTTTAGCATGGCAAATACAGTCCACGTTTAGTCCAAGCTTCATTGGAAGAAAGGTGTCGCTAGCTGATCAGCAATAGACAACCACTTTTGTTCCACCACTGTGTATAAAGTGACGTGGCCATACATTGGACCTTCAACAATGATATTATCGTCGATGTAGAGTTATCGAGCGTAATAGTGCTGTCAAGAAAAGTGAATACGCAGTGTTCCATGAAGGTTTCTTCTTTATGGTTATAAAGATAACATAAATTGTTTGGCTGCCGGTTGATAGACTAATTCAGTCTGTGTAGCTGATAAGCTCGGTAAAAAGTTGGTACAGGCTTCAAACAATATGTTGATGGTGTGTTGCATACACACACTCAGTTTACACACATTTCTACACAAAATAAGACCACGTTAGTCTCTTCACTGGAGCAAAGGTCGCTATGATGCAATAGACCACGTTTGGGGCACCAGTGTTCAATGACGTGACCATACATTGGACCTCAATAATGATATAATCTAAAACATAGTTATCGAGCGTAATAGTGCTGCTAAATTGTATACGCAGTGTTCCACGAGGTGTCTTTTCCATACAAAAGATAACAATTATTTGGCTAAACATTGTAGACTTATTCTTCTGTGTAGCTGTAAGCTCCGGTGAAAAGTTCTGGTTATTCGTCAGGCCAGGGCCCGAGTTAAAAGCCAAAAGTCCATTCGTGGACTGGTTTATTTGCGTTACCGCCGGAATTCGCTCGGGCCGGTGAACTCCGAAGAAGGAAAGTTAGTCGACATCTAAGACATGCTATCTGGGGAGGCAGTGGGTCGATTCTTGTTTTCCCATCGATCGGGTCCTAAAACCCATACGGAGAGACAAGTTTCAACAACCAGCACTATCGGAATCAACAGCAACAATGGGCAGTCATAAAACAACTATCATTGGCTTTCTGGGTTCGTGGCAGTTTTAGTAATGAACGAAATATCTGGCCACTTTAGCCTGTCTGCTATGATTAAGTCCTTTGACTATCCAAAATATTTCGGGTACCGCCTCAAACATTTGACCTTCCACTTTTGGCTATCCAATGTCTCGATCTCTTATAGAAAAAAAAGAGATTACGCGATCGTCTTTTCTCCATAATGATTTTTTTTTCAACATTTTGTAATTCGCATTTGCGCTGCTTTTATTCAAATGTCACTCTGTGTACATTGAGAACACCTCGACAAGGTATGGATGATGGTCATGTTTGTGAAGTTGCCGAGTAAAATATCCCCCCCCCCCCTTTTTTTTTTTCTCACCCGCTTCCATTTTAAAGTTTTATTTCAAATGTTGCTACATCCTGTATTGGGTATGCAACTAGCAATATTCCCAGTAAGCAACACCAAATGAGAAAAGGTCCTCTGTGCGCTTGATTCGACCGACAGCGGAGCGGGTTTGGAGCGCTGCTGTGGTCGCTACAAAGCGCTCTATTTAATCAAACTGGAGAATGAGGAATTTCTTATGGTTATGTCATCAGCATATGTGTATTTGTTCAATGATAATACCCCCACATGTTCACACACCGGGTTTCATGGACGTAGTTTGAATCAGTTCTACATTTAGTAGCATTCCGTACATCCAAAATCAGTGACAGGTAATCAAGGGCAGGTCGCGAATAACGCGATGTGGCTTCTTAAGACACATGTTTGGGCGGACAGTTTTTTCCCCCTTTAAGTTTAATAAAATAAGGGCCTTCGCGGGAACTGATCTACCACTGATATGCTATTCTCATTACGATAGTTGCAGGAAAAAATGCCGCGAACAAAATCAACCACTGTATGTTGCTTTTATTGATCTTACCAAGGCATTTGATTTGGTTAGTCGAAAAGGTCTGTTCAATGCACTGAGCATTATTGAGTCGTTTGACGCAGGAATGAAAGGTACAATTAACTTTGATGGTGTAACATCGGAGGAGTTTGTAATCAAAAATGGAGTGAAGCAGGAGTGTATACTTGCTCCTACCCTCTTTGGAATATACTTTTCTCTTCTTTTGACACATGCCTTTCGAGATCAGGAGGGTGGTATTTTCATTCATTCTAGATCTGACGGCAGCCTTTACAATGCACGCAGGCTGAAGGCCAAAACCAGGATAAGAAAGGTACTTATCAGAGAGCTGTTGTTGATGCCGCAATAATCATCCACTCAGAGGAGGAGCTGCAATTTTTACTATCTGCCTTTGCTGATGCGTGCTGTGAATTTGGACTAACAGTCAGCAAAAAGAAGACAAAGGTTATGTTGCAAGTTGTTAAAGACAGACCTACAGTCTTCATTGACGGTGAAGAGCTTGAGACAGTAGACCATTTTACCTATCTGGGTTCCACAGTGAATAGTAAACTATCGCTGGACCAAGAAATCAACATCAGGATAGGTAAGGCAGCAACAACAATGAGCAGATTGACAAAGAGAGTTTGGGAAAACAGAAAGTTCATATTTAAAAAAAAAACTCTTATCTATCAGGCTTGGGTTCTCAGCACTCTGCTTTATGGCACTGAAACTTGATCAACCTATTTGCACCAAGAGAGACGGCTTAATAACTTTCACATGCGATGCCTAAGAAGAATACTCGGCATTAAGTGGCAGGACAAAATTACAAACACTGAGGTACTGGAAAGAGCAGGTACTACAACAATCTTTTCCATGCTCAGTCTACGAAGGCTCAGGTGGCTGGGTCACACCTGGAGAATGGAAGATGGCAGAGTCCCTAAAGACATCCTTTATGGTGAATTAAAGACAGGAAGAAGATGTCGAGGGCGACCTCTACTACGATATAAAGATGTGTGCAAGCGGACTCATGGGAACAAAATGTCATGGACCGTGTTGTGTGGAAAGGGCATATCAGGAAGGGAATGAGACTAAAGGAAGAAATGATTTCAGAAATGATGAGAGCTGAGCGTCTGAAAAAAAAACGGATTAAACACAAATGCTGTTAACAATGGTCCTGAAATCCAATGCTATCATTGTGAAAGACTTTTCTTGACACTGGCGGATCTTGCTAGTCACACTCGCCATCGCCAGGAGCTATGAGTCTCATGCCTCCTCATAGCGCAATATAGTACTATCGTCTGGAAAGACGAAAAGGTGCCAATGATGCAGAATCAACACCAGCATTTTTTTTCTTTTGTGGCTATTCTAGGCAAACTGTACGTACAGTAGTTTGTCATTGCTTTTTGAACGGTCAGCTCTCGATACCACTATCGAAACCAACGCTGCTGAGATCGAACCCGGCACCCCAGCAGTACGAAGCGCGTTCGCAACGCCGAAGCCACAGAAGCCGACAACTGCTTTAATTGTTACTTGATTAATTCATAATATTTAACGGCCTCAAAAGGTTCCCCCCTCTGTTTATTTATAATAAAACAATAGAGCGCGCTACAAACTAGTTCTCTTCAAAACAGCCATGTTTCATTTAGTGCCAAACGACACATAGATATTACGCACATCGAAGTACAATTCTTTGTTGCCATCGTTGTGTACTCTGTATCAGCTGATGGGTCCTATAATTTCAAACTTACACTTTACTTCTGTGATAGTATAACAACAAAAGTTTATTTATTTTTAAATCAAAAGAAATTTGTTTCGTCGTCGTCTGTTCAATATTTTAGCTAGTTTACGCCGGAACTTTGAAATTAGCCGGCGAGGTTTGGGAATAAAATAAATAGCGAATTGTTTCTTCTCGCAATGCTGGTGTTCTAGTTATATCTAACAAGTGTTCATGTCAGTCGTAAACAGCCAGCAATAATCATTGATATAATATACAGTATTTGAAGAGACATATTGTGAAATATACGCTTTTTGGCAGTTTGGCCTCAGTGTGTTTGGCCTGGAGTGTGAAACAAATCTGTGACTGCCGGTCGGCGTGGCCAGGTTGAGCATCAGCAGTAGCAGAAGTTTGCATGTGATAATTTGAAATTTTCTGTTTTATGTTGTTTTCATCTGCCGTGTTTATGTCATTTCTGGAAATGTCTGCACCATCCATTGACGATGTCATCGACAAGTTAGCTCAAGCTAGTGTAGATACCAAGTTTGAGCTCAGTTTTAAAGGGAAAGGACTGAAACTAAACACAGCTGAAGATGGTGAGTCAGTGCAAACCTGTTGTTTATAGATTATTTCAAATGTGTAATGATAATCAAATGTAATGACTGTTTGAGTTCACGCAACTATTGCCACTGCCTTTTCTTTTGACGCGTTATTAGCAAGTCTTAACTTAAAACACTTATCCTTATATTATCACCTGTAAACTTAAATAAGTACATTATATTTTATTGGACTTATAAAATAATAAACTATGTGAAGCAAATTGGGAAGGGCAAGGGAACAACCAGAGGCGCCAAAACCTGGAGCGCCACCACCCCCTTCCCCCAATTTAAGTGCTTACCCCGCCCCCTTCACTCTAGAAAATGTGCAGATGTCCCCTAGCCATCATATCATACATGTTCTGTTTTTAAGTGTATAGTATAAGTATTTGTCATTACTTCTTTTTACATTTCATATTTTATTTCAAATATTCTTTTCTATTATTGAATTTATAATTATAATTATTACTCCTCACTTAAACAGGGCTTACACCTTTTGAAACTTTGTCAGTAAAACTGTTGATTTCACCCCGTCTCGGGACCTTGAAGATTTGTTGGGGAAAGTTCAATAGTATAGGGTGCTAGGGTGTGAAATGGAAACCCCCCCCCCCTCCTTTCTCCCCCCCCCCCCATATTATTGAAATTTCTTGGGAATTCCTCACAAAATCTCAGAGACCCTGTGGTGGGGTGAAATAAAAGAATAGAACCAAATTATTTGGCACCGAGCCACCCACCAAACCCATTTTTTAGTGTCACCCATTTAATTCATAACAGTTTTTGAAGCTTCTCTCTCTCGCTCTCTCTTTCTCTCTCTCCACATCCGCTTATCTTCCTTCTGCAGTCACTCTCATTACTTTATTCTGTCTTTTCCTCCCCAGTACAAACCATTCTATTTTATTTTGACAGCCAAAGAAATTGTGGAGGCCATACAGAACTGCCCGCACATGACAGCGCTATGTTTGGAAGCAAACACACTGGGAGTGGAAGCAGCCGAAGAAATCGCCAAAGCCTTACGAAAGCATCCTGAGTTTGAGGTATGTTTGGCATCTTTCTCCTTAGCAATACCTTTATTCACCTTTACAGTGGGGAAACAATAACTTTTTTTTAATTATTATCCAGTTTTATTTGAAGGGAATATTAACATTGCACATTATTAGTTCACGGATTGTTTTCTTGTTTATGTCTGGTAGTCTTAGTTTCAGATTCATAGCAAATGGGTCACCCCATCTTTGCTCCGTTCCTATGTCAACGAAAAACACACAAAATGTTTAACACAGTCCCTTGTGGAAAGATTGACAGACTGCTGTCTCAGCATATCTAGCATACACTCGCATTAAAGCATACAGTAGCCATCCGAAGTACTAACACAAACAGTCCGACATTAGAAATGCAGTTCATCATTGATGGTAGCAGAAGTCACCAACAGATCTGCAGTTGCCCATGTGATCAATTTTAATCACATACGGGCACCACCAAAATTGCGATGACAGGCATTGCCTCATTTTCTGAATCTACGATTCACACCACCAGGTTGGTCACAGTCAAAAAAACATTCCAAATGAAATCCACAGCACACAGTGTCACGCCATGCATTCAACTCAGAAGCTGGGCGTCGAAACTAAATCCAGTCTACAAATGGAACAAAAAAAGCATCGGCCATCGTCCGGCAGAAGCAAAAAATTGGCCTCGGCTCCAAACTGTGGCCCACCTAGCGTCCATTTTTACCGGAAAATCTTGCTTTGTTATATTAATTCTTTCAGTCAGTGTTCACAGTAGCTGCTTAACTGGGACAGATGTATTGCTGTCGTTGTGTTTAAAAAAATCAGATGTTACCAGATTTCCTTATTATGCTGTGACTACGCGTATCATACGTGGCTTGTTTATTGGTGTGCATGAAGTCATGAGGAGTGGACAGTCATGCCAGGTGTGTTGTTTGGGACAGAAATTGTACAGATCATTCTAGTTTAGTCTTTTTCAAACAGGGCACTGTTCAGCTGTGTAGGTATAGGTACAGATTTGATTAATGCTAACCCAAGCGAGTTTGTGTTAACGAGGTTTGACTGTAGTTGTCTTGCTGTATTTTATTCTGTTGTGATTTTTATCCTGTTGTCATCATATATTGTTTATCTTGTAATTATCTCCTTTTGTTTATCCTGTTATTGTATAATGTTTATCTTATCTTCTTGTATTGTTTATCTTGTTAATCATCTTGTATTGTTTATCCTCTTACCATCTTATATTGTTTATCTCATCATCTGATATTTATTTTATCATCTTATATATTTTTTTTTTAATAGCTGAAAAAGCAACTGATTTACAACTGATGGATATTGTGGGGATGGAGAGGGCTGAAAAGGAACTTTCCTTAAATATTAAGAAAATGAAAGTAATGGTTACATCAGAGAAGATAACTCCATTGTGACATCTTAATTGAAAGAAAAAGACTTTGCCAAGTCAGTAATTTAAATATCTGAGAACAATCACATTATCAGATGAAAAATATGTGACAGAGATTAAAAGCAGAATAGGTCAAGCGAAGGCAGCATTTAAGAAAATTTTTAATGTCTTATGCAATAAGTCGCTCTCATTTTATGTGGAGAGTGCTAAAATGTTACATAGAACGTGTTCTGCTGTATGGCAGCGAATCTTGGAATGTCAGTGAACAAATTAGGAATTTGAAAGCAGTAGAGATGTGGTTGCTGGGTTGAAAGGACGGCCATAGTAACTAACAACGATTGTTTAAAAGAAGCTAATGAAAGTATATCTCTATCTACAACAACAAGGAGACAAACAGTGTTCTTTGGCCACGTAATGAGAAAGATATTGAAAAAATCGTGACAACTGGAAAAATCAGTGGAAAGAGGTGTAGAGGCAGGCCAAGAGAGACAGTGCTAAATGAGCTGAAACAATGGCATGGAGGGATATCAAAAGAGCTGTTCCAGGCAACCAGGGATTGTGATCTGTGGAGATGCATGAGCGCCTATGTCAACTGGCAGGGCACATGATGATGATGATATTGTTTATCATCTTATATTGTTTATCTTATATGTTTATATATTTCAGCGAGCACTGTGGAGTGATATGTTTACTGGCCGTTTGAAAACTGAAATTCCCAACGCTCTTGTAAGTACTTAGTTGGAATGTAAGTGTGTAATGTATCTGTGTTTGCATGTCTGTGTGTGTGTCCGTATATGTTTGCAAGTTTGTCTGCGTTTGTGTCTTATGTGGATGTATGTATGTGTCTCTGTGTGAGGGTGTCTGCGTGAGTGTTGGGAGTGTGTGTCTAGTGTATGTGTTTGCGTGTATGGGTGTCTGCATGTATGTTCTTTTGTGATATTTATAATATGCATATGATCATAACATGCTTTATTAATAAAATACATCCCCGTGTGGGTTCGGGGCCCTACTATAGGGAAAACAAAAATAGACCCACTGCCTACCCAAAAGTATGTCGTAAGAGTTGACTAATTGGGAGCTTTCTTCAAAGTCGGAATGCATCTGCCTGAGAGGCAAGGAACCAGCAGTCTGCATACAAATGAGTCAGATCTGTGAAACGGATGCACGCGCAACACTCAGGTTCTGGAACAGGACTGCAGTCCAGAAGTGGACGAACAACCAGAACTTTCCGCTCGAGTTTACAGCTGGTGAACGCGAAGAAGAAGAAAGAAGTAAAATACAACTGCTGTATGAACGATGGACGATTGGAAGGGCCAAATGTAAGGTGAACCTGTGTGACCCTTTGAAAATAAAGTTTGTTCGTTCAGCCTAATGTGTGTGAAGTTCTCGGTATTCCTTAATCATTCAGCATGGTTTAAAATATGGAGCGCACTGCCTATGGTTTGCTTGTTTTTGTGTGTGTGTGTGAAATCTGTTTATTTTACAGCTCTCTCTCTCTCTCTATAAATACACACTGACATACATACGTACTCACATATGTACACATAAATAAATACATACAAGATAAAAGAGTGAGTTTTCTTGCCATCATTCTATTTGCTTTAATTCTGACATTTTCAACCAGTGTTTTTTTTTTTTTAATTACAAATAATTGTTTGACCCTGTCGCCAGCAGGTCATGTAACCATCAGTGTGAGTTGAAGTCAAAGCCACCATCTGTCTGTCTGATATATTTTATAGTTTTGTTTTGTCTCCAAGTAGAGTTTTGCTGCAGTGGGCGCATTCACCGCTGTCTTAGAAAACATCACGTGGTGAGCTTCAGCCTCTTCATTTTTATGGTGCAACTCAAAACACTGTTTTCAATGCCTCTTTTATCCTATATATATTATTAATAGTAAGCACCCAGTTTGAATCAAAGTTCATAGTTCAGATATAAGTAAGTACCCAGTAAAATCAATACCTAGTGTGTATATTTGTGCATGTATGTATAGGGAGAGATTGCTTCACAATGTAAAGGTAAATTAAAAATAAACTATATTTAGTGTTCAATATTATAAGCTAAGCTTTCTTTTCTTCAACATATATTATTAAATGTCATACATAAATACATAGTTGGTGTACGTACATTCAGATATATATCCTTGTCCACAGAAACATTTGGGAGCCGCGGTAATGGAAGCCAATTGCCATCTGGTGGAGATAGATCTCAGTGACAATGCTTTTGGCCCCAATGGTGTTGTGGGTCTGGTGGATTTGCTGAAGAGCAAGAGCTGCTACAGTCTCAAGGAGCTGAAACTCAACAATAATGGCCTTGGCATCACCGGCGGCAAGGTAAATTATTCTCTTCTTGTTTTGGCATTCACCAGCTGTAAACTCTGGCTAACAGTTCTAGCTGTAAGCCAACTTCTGGACTTTAGTCTTATTACAGAACTTAAATTCTGCATGCACATCCATTTCACAAATCTGGCTTCCTTGTATGCAGACTGTTAGTTCTTCACCTCTAAGGCAGATTTGCTGTAAATTCGAGGGGGGGGAAGGAGTCTTTAATTAGTTGCCATTTTTGACATGCTAGTTGCGAGCCCAGTAGGCCTCTTTGTCTCCAAAATGGGAGAACCTGAATTCACATAGGGAGAACCTGAATCCACATAGGGAGAACCTGAATCCACATAGGGAGCCCCTGAATCCACATAGGGAGAACCTGAATCCACATAGGGAGAACCTGAATCCACATAGGGAGCCCCTGAATCCACATAGGGAGACCCTGAATCCACATAGGGAGACCCTTAAGCTCAAACATTTACTTTCAGAAATGTAGCGTATACCAGGGAAATAGCCTATGGATAAGTCAGGCTTCCTTAGCATGATCGTTGAAAGAAGCTAAAGCTAACACAACACATGACATGATAGTTGCGATTCAAGAGGAAGAGTCTGTTAAGAGTAACCCTTTTGCCCTGAGAGCTATACAAAAATAGGTCATGCCTTCATTAGAATGCGAGAAAAAAATAAAACAGTTTACATAGGTCACTAATAAATTTGTTAATAATGTTTTTATCTACATTATTTTACCGAAATATATGAAAGGAGTAAACACCAGCAAGGTGAGTACAAATAGAAAACATTCCACGGGGCATAAAAAAACATGTGTATTAAATCTCATGCTGTGTCCTATCACTGAGTTTTGCAGGAAACTGATATCAACTAAAGTAATGTATTCATTTACTAACCTAACATCAGTGGGCAACTGGACCCAGCCAGACATGTCGGTTTTTCTGCAAAGAAATAAAACTTATTGCCAGAATATTTAACTCTAATGTCAAATTGGTGCTGCTGTGTGAAGAGTGACTAACATTCTTACTTAACCACAAGTGTTCATTCACTCGCACCTGCACAGAGTAGAAGGAATGCTAGTATTACAGAATCCCTAATGTGAAGCCAAGGGAGAGAATTAAACACATTTCAGTGTATCAAGAACTAGGGATACATACTGTGAAAAAAACTTTATAATTGTTTTGCTAGTTGGTCTTTTTACTGGAACCCACAGGGTAAAATAGTTGGAGGGAGAATAAAACACCTAGACAAGAATTAGAGACAGGTGAATACTAAGTTAGGAACATAAAGAGAGCTAGCTACCTATGGTAGTCAAATGTAGGATGATTTTGTGTTAGTTTTTTGAGAGGCTATGTTCCAGTGAGCAGTGAAGGAAAGACAAGTACTAATGATCAGTATTTAGGGGTCTTAGCTCAATATATAGGAATAAAGTTAAATGACCCATTTCCTGTTGCAGATGCTCGCGGAATGTCTGCTGGAGTGTCACAAGAGCAGTGTAGCAGCAGGGCAACCTCTCTCACTTCGTGTCTTCATCTCTGGCAGAAACCGGCTAGAGAACGATGGAGCTACTGCGCTGTCAGCTGCCTTCAAGGTCAGAGTGTAAACTGTGCAACAATTTTTTCAATAACCGCATAGCTTTTTTTCAGTACTGGTTTGAGGAAATGTAGTGGCTACCTCATCCCATAAAGCTAACACCTTTAGTGTCTACCTTTGTGTTACCATTTGTTGAGTCATTATCTGTAACAGCATTTCTCAGGTATCCTTCATAGGAACTATAGATTATAAACATCTTTACTTGCCAGATTCTTGTCATTCTGGACTTTTTATTTATTATTTTTCTTATTCAGCTTTACTGATGACCATCTGACACCTTTTCTTTGTATATACAGTGCAGACCTGATAAAAAAAACTTATCAGAGATCCAAAAAATAGTTGTTCTAATTAGAAATTCTTCTTATCCAGATATGAGTTCAAGCATATGGTAATTGCTGGGGATAAACAAATTGTTCTTCACAAGAGAAATTCACCACATCCGAGATGTCTCGAGTGGTATGCACTGTATATGTTTGTAGCTGAAGTTTAATGAAGTGGTGATCTATAGTCATGATGAATCATTTAGTTTGAATCCATGTTTTAGTTACCTTCTTTATTCTGACATAGCATCTTAAAATGTTGGATGGGATCATTTACTGTTTAATCATAATGTGCTGATTTGTTGCTTTTTGTTTTGAATTTTCATTTAGTTTACGATTTGTATTTGTTTTATAACAAAAATTGCACACTTTAATGAGTTTTATAACTACAATTGCACACTTTGGTTACTTAAATTTTTTAAACAAAATTTTTTTCTCTCCTTCAGGCCATTGGAACACTAGAGTTTCTGGCGATGCCTCAGAATGGGATTAACCACCCTGGGATCTCTGCACTGGCCGAGGCCATTGCTGTCAACAAAAACCTGAAACATTTGAACCTCAATGACAACACATTTACTGCTAAAGGAGCAGAGGCCATTGCCAGAGTGAGTCTGTCATATGTTTTCACCTGTGTTTGAGTGTTGCATGTGTGTCATGCCTGTACATATCCAGCAGGTGTTCTTGGGGTGAAAACAGCGGAGAGTCTAAACATTAATTAATGATTAAACCAGCTGTCCGGGCTATTGTGACCCTGAAGATAATTATATTTCCCTCACCTCAGCATATATAAGGTGCTATCTTCTTCTTCGATCCTTCTGTCCGAAAACTTACATCAGGAGCCTGGTAGTTTTTATGACAGCCATCATGCAGTCCATATCTTCTCGTCTACCATACAGTTTCGTCTTCATTGTGGTCGGAACAGGCCAGATTGTGTCCCTGTTGTCAGCATACAGCTGAAAGTGTTGGGGCACATGCTCTGCATTTTCGGGTGCCACGTTGCAGGGACATGTCTCTGTTTCACACACCAAAAAGTTTCAATATATGATGACGGAGTCTGTTGTGCCCTGTCCTTAGTCTGAATATAGCAACACATTGTGCCTCTCTAAAGAGGTGATAAAGCTAGTCTCGAGGAGAGAATTTGGTGTTTGTATCCAGCCACCTGTCTTGTGCTTACTTATCAATATTTCTTAGTGTTATTATTTTTAATAACATGCCTTATCTTGGACTGCCTTATATATTTTGAACTTCTGATGACTGCCTCATGCATTTCCCGTGTGTATGCTTGCTTTTGGCTTTGCCGAGACAGCAGTCTGTTTCAGTTGTTCTGGTGGCAACAACTAGATAAAGGGGCAGAAAATACACCCCACAAATTATGTCTCACCAAACCAAAAAATGCCTGGAAGACGCATGTGTTTGCCGAAAGGTGCATATATCACAGCTTTGCTGTAAACAAGCATTTGTGCCACTTTGATAAATGAAAAGAAGAAGTTTCATTTTTTGTTTCGCCACATGGGAAAGCAGTTGAAATTCTGAGTTGTTTTTACTGGCACAGGAATGAAGTAGCCCCGGACGAGAGCCCTTTGCCATGAAGTTGGAACTGTGATTAACTAATTTAACTTGTCTGAATATGTATCTTGCTACGTGCACTAAAAGTGTTTTACCTGTTAACAGATTTAGATTATCAACAGTGAATCTTTGTCTTTCCCTCTAGGCATTGCCCAAGTTGGAGAAGTTGGAGGTCATCAATTTTGGAGACTGTTTGATTCGAACTGAAGGTGCTAAGGCTATTGCTAAAGCAATAAAAAATAATCATCCCCATTTACAAGTATGTGTCATAAAAATTTTCAGCTTATTACCATACCACCTTTATTATTTTTAAGAATTGAACTATCCTTATGGCAAGAGAATACATGTTAATATGAATTACAAATTAGCCACATGTTATCTGTACAGCTTTTCTTGTTCTTGAAGTCCCAATGCCGTGTGTCCTTGCTCATCCTGGCTGTCAACTTGGTGGTTTGGCAGATGATGGTGTTCTATTGTGAAGGGGGGGGGGGCAGGGAGTCATCGCCGACGCTGGTAGCAAGTTTACTAGCACAGTGATCTCTGACCTTTTCCAGGTGGTGCACCCCGCCCGCCTTGGGTCTATGGCAAGACCCCCATGCCACCCCCTTGGGTCTGGGGCAAGAAACACCCCCCACTTTTTTCTTTTCAAAAAGCAAATCCAAAGTATTGTTGACAAAATTTTGTAGAAAAACATCCACATATATTTCACAGTGTCACATAACAAAAAAAAGAAAACAATGGCGGGGACTAGTAATATAGTGTCCAAATATCTGTGTGATGGTTGGTGCTATTTTATTTTGATGCTGTCTGTTATTTTTGGTCTGACAAGGCACAACGCAGATCACTCTCCACATCAAGATGGCAGCACTATTGGGGGGGGGGGGGGGGGGGTGGGTGTCAAATATAAATGTATAATTAAACTGTTTTGTTAGTATAACATTTTCCCCCTCTATGCAACACAGCCCATGGCAGCCTGTTCCCATAAATATACCTCAGAACCTCTATCATTCATGTCCCGCTTGCATACATCTTTACATTGTAGCAGAGGTTGACCTCAGCATCTTTTACCCATCTGTAATTCAGCATAGAAGATGCCTTTAGAACTTTACCATCCTCCAAGTGTGATGCAGCCATTTGAACCTCTGAAGACTGAACATTGAAAACACTTTTAATTCCTGCTGTTTCCAGTTCCTCTGTGGTGATCTTATCTCAATCCTGAGTATTCTTCTTGGGCATCTGTCACCCTACTGTCGACACAGATGTTCCTGCAAGTCATGATGCAGCTGTCCAACATCCTCTCCCTTGTTTGTTAATTTGATTTCAACAGCATAACAGTTTTAGCTCTCTACTGAGTTACATTTATTTTTTGGCTTTTTTTTTAAAACTGTGAATTTGTGTTTGTTTGACGTTTGTAGGTAAGATGTCTGTTTGTTATTAGTGTATTTCCTTTTGTTAGTTCAAAGGTCATCGTTACTGCATACGCAACCATCAGTCCATCTCTGCTTGGATCTTCTGTCTATCATTCGGCTTCTTGTTACAGTTATGATTTTATGAGGAAATAGTGTACAGATCATTTCTGGCCAGTCTGTCTAGGTTGTGGGAGTAGCTTCTGAGGCTGACACCCGCCCCACTTTATAAAACCTTATTTTGTCTTGGAACCTCATGTTCCCAATATGCATATCAAAGATGCAGATAACGGAGTTTAGAGAGTTATGTGTGTAGCAACGGTGAATTTCATCATCACCACTATTTACTCAAGAATGGCAGATAACAGAGGGACACAAACTGTGTGCACAAAATAGTTGAATCTGAGTAGGCAAAAATAATGGTGAAGTAATAGACAGTTAGAGCTACAAACACTAGGAGTTACCCATCTTGAAAGAGAAATCTAGCTGCTGAAATAAATGGGAGCAGATGATATCTGCAGCATGAACCTCAAGGGCTGGGAAAGTTGAAGAAGTTAAGTGATATCTTTGAAGAGTGATATCTTCAATGACATAAGCTTTTTTTGGTTATGTTTTCAGGAGTTAATACTCAGTGGTAATGAGATAACTAAAGAAGGGGCCATTAATATAGTGGAGAGTTTGGAAAACAAGAAAAATCTGAGAAAGTTGGATTTGAATGGTAAGTACTGTCTAACTCACGGCTGTGTGATGTATTTTCACAGCCTTCTGTCTTGTGTGCTTTCATTGATTTCTTACACAGATGATTTTCCATGCTGTGTGGTGTTGGTAGTCATGTCTTTTCACAACCTTCTGTCTTGTGTGCTTTCATTGATTTCTTACACAGATGATCTTCAATGCTGTGTGGTGTTGGTAGTCATGTCTTTTTCACAGCCTTCTGTCTTGTGTGCTTTCATTGATTTCTTACACAGATGATCTTCCATGCTGTGTGATGTTGGTAGTCATGTCTTTTTTACAGCCTTCTGTCCTGTGTGCTTTTATTGATTTCTTACACAGATGATCTTCCATGCTGTGTGGTGTTGGTAGTCATGTCTTTTCACAACCTTCTGTCTTGTGTGCTTTCATTGATTTCTTACACAGATGATTTTCCATGCTGTGTGATGTTGGTAGTCATGTCTTTTCACAGCCTTCTGTCTTGGGTGCTTTCATTGATTTCTTACACAGATGATTTTCCATGCTGTGTGATGTTGGTAGTCATGTCTTTTCACAGCCTTCTGTCTTGGGTGCTTTCATTGATTTCTTACACAGATGATTTTCCATGCTGTGTGATGTTGGTAGTCATGTCTTTTCACAGCCTTCTGTATTGTGTGCTTTTATTGATTTCTTACACAGATGATCTTCCATTGCCATGATATCAGACTGTCCTGCATCTTTGTCTCTCTCTCTCTGCTTTTGTTTCCTTTCCAACTGCAATGATGCACTTTTCTCCTTCTGATTGTGTGATTGCAGTAGTTTATCAAATTATCTTCCTGTGATTTGAGCGCCAGGTGAAGAAAGTATGTAGTTTATCTGTAATTGTTTTCCTGCACATTCAGGGTCTGAAAGTTTGAGGACAAGTATTTATTGGGCATCCAGTGCATTAACTGTGCTATCACAGCTTGACTGCTTTATGTGGCATCTAGTACATTAACTGTGCTATCACAGCTTGACTGGTTTATGTGGCATCTAGTACATTAACTGTGCTATCACAGCTTGACTGGTTTATGTGGCATCTAGTACATTAACTGTGCTATCACAGCTTGACTGGTTTATGTGGCATCTAGTACATTAACTGTGCTATCACAGCTTGACTGGTTTATGTGGCATCTAGTACATTAACTGTGTTATCACAGCTTGACTGGTTTATGTGGCATCTAGTACATTAACTGTGCTATCACAGCTTGACTGGTTTATGTGGCATCTAGTACATTAACTGTGCCATCACAGCTTGACTGGTTTATGTGGCATCTAGTACATTAACTGTGCTATCACAGCTTGACTGGTTTATGTGGCATCTAGTAAATTAACGGTGCTATCACAGCTTGACTGGTTTATGTGGCATCTAGTACATTAACTGTGCTATCACAGCTTGACTGGTTTATGTGGCATCTAGTACATTAACGGTGCTATCACAGCTTGACTGGTTTATGTGGCATCTAGTACATTAACTGTGCTATCACAGCTTGACTGGTTTATGTGGCATCTAGTACATTAACTGTGCTATCACAGCTTGACTGGTTTATGTGGCATCTAGTACATTAACTGTGCTATCACAGCTTGACTGGTTTATTTGTCATCCAGTACATTAACTGTGCTATCACAGCTTGACTGGTTTATGTGGCATCTAGTAAATTAACGGTGCTATCACAGCTTGACTGGTTTATGTGGCATCTAGTACATTAACTGTGCTATCACAGCTTGACTGGTTTATGTGGCATCTAGTACATTAACGGTGCTATCACAGCTTGACTGGTTTATGTGGCATCTAGTACATTAACTGTGCTATCACAGCTTGACTGGTTTATGTGGCATCTAGTACATTAACTGTGCTATCACAGCTTGACTGGTTTATGTGGCATCTAGTACATTAACTGTGCTATCACAGCTTGACTGGTTTATTTGGCATCCAGTACATTAACTGTGCTGTCACAGCTTGACTGGGATACATTGAAACACAGTCTGTAAAACCATTTGGTCATCTTTTCCATAACAGCAAAAGATGAATTTTATTTTGTTCACTTTTCTGTCTTTTCAGAGAATAGTGTTAGATTGTGCAAAGGGGGAGGGGGGCATAGGCCATGGTTGGTGATGGCGAATGTGGCTAAAGACTACAGATTATTTGTATTATATAGTTTGGATTTGGCATAAGATTTTAATATTGTTGATAAAAGGTGACATATTTTTACATATTGTTTCCAGCTAATAACTTTGGAGATGACGGATGTGAAGATATAAAAGCATTGGTGGAAGGTCTGGGAAATGGTGATGTCCTGGGCTCACTTAGGTAACGTGAAATGTTGGTTATGTTGCTTGTAGTGTATAAAATATGATGTGATCTTGGTAATACTGATAAGTTATTGCCCATTCATCTTTTGATAATTTACCACCCAGAGATATGTTTCTGTTTCACAGCGTGTGCATTGATACATTTGATACCCTGTAAAGCCAGTGTAACTAACAATAATTTTCTGCGAAAAGCTGAAATGGAAGTAGACTTAATATATGCACTGCTGAGTTTAGACTTGATGAGGTCCTAAGTTATATACAGCCCTGAGGCCCCTACTGTTTTAAATTAAAGTGGAGGTTGACACATATCAGGCACATTATTTTATTCAGTTTAAATAGGCTACAAGTTAGAATAAATTAAAAACCTAAGTTAATATACCCAAAACAGTGTTAATAGTCTGAACAATTTCAGGGGAATTTCCCCCCTCCCCTCCAATTTAAAATAAAATTACATTTGTGAAAAATATGAATTATTTGAGTCCCCTGCAAATTGTGAAGCCCTAAGCCAGCAGTTCTCAGCCTGTCGGTATGACCCTTTTGTGGGTCGAACGACCCTTTCACAGGGGTCGCTAACACCGTTGGAAAACATGTATTCACTGAAGTTATGAAGTAGCAAGGCAAATGATTGTATCGTTGGGGGTTGCCACAACATGAGAAACTGTATTAAAGGGTTGCCACAACATGAGGAACTGTATTAAAGGGTTGCCACAACATGAGGAACTGTATTAAAGGGTTGCCACATCACGAGGAACTGTATTAAAGGGTTGCCACAACATGAGGAACTGTATTAAAGGGTTGCCACAACATGAGAAACTGTATTCAAAGGGTTGCCACAACATGAGGAACTGTATTAAAGGGTTGCCACAACATGAGGAACTGTATTAAAGGGTTGCCACACGACATGTATTAAAGGGTTGCCAAACATGTAACTTATTAAGGGTTGCCTCATTAGGAAGGTATTAAAGGGTTGCCTCATTAGGAAGGTTGAGATCCACTGCCCTAAGCCGAAACTTAGTTAGCTAATGCCTAAAATCTAGCACTGATTATATGCTACTATAAGACAAACGCAGAATTCTGTAGTCATTCTGTGAAAAGAAAGGCAGTCAAGAACATTGGGATGCCTGGAAAAGTCTTAAGTAGGGAAGAGAGACAAATTGAGTATTTTACTGGATGAACTTAGACTGCAGCAGGTGGTTGTAATATCAGTAGAATTGATCCAGACAGCACGGACCCAGATTTGGGAAAACACATGGACACTACTCTGTCTGTCAAGGATATGATGATAATGACACAGCAGGATTAGGTTAGTGCAAGAATAGCATGAGAATGATTGTGCTAAAATAAACATGCAATGGTGCATGCACTGCTCCGACCCCACAGTAGGCATGAAAGACTCAGAAAACATTTGTTACATTTTAGTCATGACAATAATGTATGTTATCATTTTCAGTGATGATGAAGGTTGTGGGGATGATGACGAAGAGGAAGGAAGTGAAGATGAGGTACGTTTTAATGTTGCGACAGGTGTCCTTTTTTGGGGGCTGTAAATTTTAAAACAGTAATTTAAAAGAGGTTACAGTACCTGACTAGCTCATTCAAGTAGGTCCATTTAATTTTCTGGATTGACTATTTGGGTGCTTTTAAAAAAAAAAGTATGCACAAACCTTTGAAAGGTGACTGTTAATTTAGAGCTGTTACCTTGGTGTTGACGTCATTTGAGCCTTGGAAAGGGCATACATAATGTAATGATTTTCATTCCCTGTCTGAACAGGCGCTAGCATGGGATAGGAAACACGTTGAGGAAATCTGAGAACAGTATAACTAGAATGTTTTCAAACTGGAACCCACTGGAATACTAAAATAAAGGCAGCCCCCCCCCCCCCCCCCCCCCCCCCCCCGGGGGGGAAAAACACGGGGAACAGAACTAGAGGGTGAAGTTAAAAAGATAGTGAGGATGTGGGTTGAAGTACATGCGATGGCAGATAAAAGATGGAGTGGGTTGAAGTACATGCGATGGCAGATAAAAGATGGAGTGGGTTGAAGTACATGCGATGGCAGATAAAAGATGGCGTGGGTTGAAGTACATGCGATGGCAGATAAAAGATGGCGTGGGTTGAAGTACATGCGATGGCAGATAAAAGATGGCGTGGGTTGAAGTACATGCGGTGGCAGATAAAAGATGGCGTGGGTTGGTTGGGGTCCAGGGCTCCATTGGGAGATAAAATACAGAAGAAGAAGCTGAACACATGGCACCATTTGTTTGATCATGGAGGAAGTTGTGGTTATAATTGTAGTCCACTTTGTTATTGAATGTGTGCTATTAGTAGATGCAATGGTGTCAGCCAAGTGTTGCACTTTGTGACTTTCAGAACTCAGAGAAGGAAAGTGATGAGGAAGTGAGCATAGACAACAAGTCACCTGCCAAAGAGACAGCCACTAAACCTCCAGTTAAGGAGACCATAAGCACACCAATCAAACAGGTTTGTAGACTGTGTACGTGTTGTATCATTCTTATTGTGTCATTACATTTGCTGCTTTCAGAATTCATTATTATGGTTGGTTGTAAACCCTGCAGAAATCTGGTTTCTTTTCAAGCCCAGTGCATTAGTCTTCTGGTGGCTAGCACCCTGAGAGGGAAGAAGGCTTACATCCGTTTTTGAGGTTTCATCCAGACACTCCTCAGCACTCAGGGAACCATCTCCATTTGCTGAACAAAAATATAAGGGGTCTCTGATATTTTTTTTTTTTAAATTCTAATAATAGATTTATAGTACTTGTTTTTTAATTGTGACTAGTAAAAAAGTTGGCAGGTCAGTGGCTTTTGAAAATGAGAGCAGTCCATGCGCATCTAATCTAATTGGGAACCACTGGTCTGTGAGCCTTCTTCTGTGTTTGTCCTGAAAGGAGAGGGGGTTTTAACATGTTGCCTTGCGGTTTACAGCTTGGCTGCAATATCTGCACCATTTGACCAAACACATTGAATTTCATCAATGCTTTATATCACATGCTTGTTGGGGAGCTCCCCCCAGTCAGACAAGAGGGGCTTCAGTAGATAATGACTTTTTCGGGCTTTATTTGTGAGTCTTCTAAAGATCTTTTCCGATCATTTGTTATCAGGTGCCTTGCCAACTGGCGTGAGGGCTCATGCATCTTCACAATCTGTGATTTGCATGTATCAGTTCATGTGTTGTCACCCTCCAAGCCGTGACACAATACTGTCAAGAATCTTCTTGCATTGTCCACATCTGTCTCTTTTCCCACAAATCTTCCCTGTGGTTGCAAGGTGTTCCATTTTCCATCATCTCATGATTAAACAATGATGACCATCTCTTTCTGATGTTTGTGATACGTTTTCTTCGAGCCCTCACCTCTTTCAGAACATCTAGGTTGCTCTTTTTTGGCTAAGGATTCTTCTGTAAAACCACATCTCCAAGGCCTCAAGAAATTGTTAGACTTGTTTATTAATTGTCCAGGATTCACAGCCGTATGTTAAAACCGAGATCATTGCTGGAGTTATACAACATTCTCAGCCAGCAACCAACCAGTTTACACGGAGACAGAAAACGTCATATGAGACAACACACAGCGCAGTAAATCCTCGTGCCTTTTAACACCCTTTGATAGCTGTAGCTGGGTCTTGATTCAGCACACAACATACTGTCTGATATTAGGCCTTATTATCATCATCATGTTCCAAGCCGGTAAGCATTTCACCATCTCGTACGATCACTGATCAGCTCAGTGTTTTTTGTCTCACCCCATCTATGCTGCTGGCCATTCAGATATTTATCTTCTGACTTCATCTTGCTCTTTTTCCATCCATCTTGCCAGTTGTTACCAAGTTCTAAAGCTCATTTCTTCTCATAAAATGTCCCAAAAGCACTGACTAAGTCTAAGTCTAATTGTTTTAATAAGTTAACAACTTTCATCTATCTGGACGAGGACAGCTTCGTTTGTTTTTCTATCCCTCTCTGAGATTCTTGGCATTATCCTCCAAAAAAAAATCACACATCTGCCAGGAGTAAAAAAATTTCGGTTTGACTACTCATTGTCCGTCTCACATGCAGATAACAACACAGTTTCTACGTGTTCTCATTAGTGAGAAAATTGTGAATCTTGCTGAAAGCCACTGTTGCCATGGCAATTCTTGTTCTAATTTCCACAAGCATCTAGTATCGGTCAGATGTTATGGCTGTTCCAAGTCAGTTATAATGATACTATTTAAACAGAAAGAAAGCAACGCATAGCTATTGTGAGCAACAGTTTTGACATTCAGAATCTTTGTAATTTAGTGACATTGTGAACAAGAATACCTTATGGTTCAACCAATCAGTTTACATTTCTTTTTCATCTGTGTCTTTGATCGTTTTTAAGTGTGTAGGCTTTCCTGTCAGCTAATAAAAACGCCATCGTACAACAATGCATTTTCTTTTCCGGGTGTATTTTAATTTTAAGACTCTAAAGCAATGCTCGCAGGGTTTTTAGATATCACAAAATACATGAATACTTATAAGGTACATATATTCTGCATACTTGTGTATGCTTAGGCCAGTAAGTAATAAAACATCAATATTTATATTTTTCTCTGTTGTGTCCTATTTTCAGCTTGTCAGCATCAAAGATTTTCTAGCTTTTCCCTCCCCGACCAAGCTCCTACAGCTAGATTACAGTATAGACTCAATCTTGAACGAGCTGGGGGTAAGTTTACTGATGTGGTTCACACTAAATACTTTCAGTTAAACAGTGATCAGAAAACAGAGGTATATATAGTCATGATTGCTGTTGTCTGCTCCACATGGGGTGTCCACATTTCTTTATGAACCTTGTTCCAGAATAGAATGAGAGTTTGCTTGTAAGTTCTGTTGTTGACTGCACTAAGCAAAGCACGCAGTATAATTCTCTTTCAATCATCTCTAAGTGATCGATGTGCAGACTTGAGTAAAAGGGACAGATCATGCTTTAGAATTAGTAGTTTTATTGAAATGTTGGCAGACATAACTATGGTTTAGTTTGGTATCTTGTCAGGAGAAATAAATAATCTAGTTGGGAATTTTTTTCAGGGAAAATTAGTCTAAAAATTTGAAAAGACAGAATAAAGCAATTAATTCTCTTTATTTAGGTTGTTGTTGTTGTTATCGATCCAGCGGCGCATGAGCTTTGGCCCTTTGGCCCAATGCCATGTAGTGGAATTTGCATGTTTTCACAAGCTGTTCTTTTCATCCGTACAAGGTGTTCCACTTGTCTGGTCTCGGAGGGAGTAGCGTTCTTCTTGTCACTGAGTTTTGGGCACTCAAAGAGATGGTGTTCAACAGTTTCATAGGGGTAGTTACATAGCTGGCACTCTGGGGAGTGTTGTGGCTGTATTCTATTTAGGTGTCCATTGAGTGGAGTATGTTGCGTTCTAAGTCTGAAGATGGTGGCCTGGTCCCTTTTTGTTAGATGGTTAATGCTGTCATTAGGATCAGGGCCAAGGGTCTTTATTTAGGAGATGTGAGAAATAGGCCAGTCTAGAAAACGGTATGTGAAACTGAAAGTTATGCAGATACTTGAACACCTACATCGGCCAGCATAACATTAAAAAAAGAAGCTACCATGTTTCCTGAAAATAAGACCTACCCCAAAATAAGTCCTAGTTAAGATCATCAGCTAGAATGAGAGATTTGTTGAAGAATGGCCAGTTGGAGTTCAGACAAAGTAATTCTACAGGAAAATGAGTTGCAAGAAATTCAGGCTGGAATTCAGATTTGGAAAGTTAAGACAGTGTTCCAGACGTAGAGGATATGACCCTATTTGAAGTATTGTAGAATTTTGTACATGAATAAATCTTGATTTTGTGTCTGGAAAACAAAAATACATCCCCCAAAAAATAATCCCTGGTGCATTTTTTTAAGCAGAATTTTTTTTTATAAGACTCAGGCATATTCTAGGGGCACATAGTATTTATAAAACTGCTTTTGTTGATTCTTCAATGTTGCTTTTTTTTATATATATATATATATATAAATAAACGGATTTGTAACACAAATATTTATAGAGTTATTATCACTTTGAGATTGTCTGTATGTTTCAGGATGATAAAACAGATGTAGATAAAGTTGTGGGAGCTTTAATGAAGGTGAGCTACCTACAAACTTTCTGTTGTTTTTGATAGCATTGACATCTACATTTGATCAAGAATATGTGCATTGCTAATGGGCTTATGTGCATGGATAATCCCAGAACCCACTTTGTCCAGTGAATTGGGCAAATACACTAGTGTGTTTCAAACCTTTTTTGACGCAGCACCCTTGTCGGGCAAAACAGAAATTAATGGCACACCTACCCTTAAAGCAGTTTTTAATACTTAGGAAAAAGAGAAAAAAAACTGTAAATGTTAACTTCTCTGTGATGTGATGAATGAAACTGTTTGGATAAATGTTCTAATTATTTATTTTATGTTTATGTGAAGTTAAGTTAGCTGTACTCTCAAGTTTTTGAAGGTTGCTCCTGAATCTTTTTATTTGATTTTTTATGTAAGCATGTGTGGAGAATGCACACATGCCTTGCCAATAGCATTGTTTTCTAAATACACCTGCATCCAGAACTCTTCTTGGCTTCCTTCACGGTATTTCTGTTTTAAACTGCTGCCTGCGCTGATCTCTAGCAGATTTGGAAAAATTCCTGATTATTGCAGCGGCAGCCCTGGCGTAGACTCCGCTGAAATATACACATGCAATATTTCAGTTCTCCTTATCAGATGTAAACAGCACTAATATTTGCACAGTCACTTGTGGCTTCTTGCTCTACAGTTGTAGATCATGTTTGTTTCAATTCTCTTGTGATTAGCTCACAACTTGACAAAACCCATTCGTCATAGACATAGCTCACAATTAGATAAAACTCATATTTGGCATGGAAATAACTCGCACACAACTAGACACAACTCGTTTTCGACATGGAAATAACTCTCACACAACTAGACAAAACTCATTTTTGACATGGAAATAGCTCACACACAACTAGACAAAACTCATTTTCGACATGGAAATTCATATTCAGCATGCACATAGCTCACATTTAGACAAAACTCACCTCTAACATGGAAATCATTAACGAGTATATAAAACTCACAACTAGACAAAACTCATATTCAGCATAGAAATAGTTCACAACTAAAAACTCACATTCAGCATGGAAATAGCTCACTGAAACTCACATTCAGCATGGAAATAGCTCACAGCTAGACAAAACTCACCAAGCACAAAATATTTTGATACCCTCAGGTGGCGCTGGTAGTCAGCAAAGATGATGAGGCGAAACAGAAAGCATGTCAGTGTGCAGGTATGTTATGTTGTGCATCATGTGTTTATGTGGCTGTCTGGGAAACGATCGTGGACCCACTGCCTGCTAACAAGCTTGTTGTAAATGGGGATAACTGGGGTTTTGCTGAAATTGGCTGTATTTGGTCGAAAGGAGCAGATATCGCAGCCTAGCTGTAAATCACAGCACAAATAATTTTTCCACCATAGTCCGTGTACACACTTGGGAGTGTAGAGGATTTCACTGATGCCGCCCAAGAAGGCAGACCTTATATACATGGTGCAGTATTCACCACACACCTTTTTACTTGACAATTTTCTATGTGATTGGATTTCTATTTTGCTATCGAGTCAAAAATGGTAGGAGTCCCCAGCAATACTAAGTCATGGATCAATAACTCATAAATTAAACATGTATATTTTTAGATTTGCATTGTAAATGCCATTAGTATTTTTTAAGTGTTATTCTTTGTAAGTTCAGAATAATAAAATCGATACATTCACAGTGTGTAGACTTTAATTTCTGGCTAATGTTTAGTAAATAAACTTAACCGTGTTCACTTGTAATTTTTCTGACCACTTTACAGACGGTTTACTCCAGTACTTGTTTAACCAAGTTGAGAATGCAGACGCCAAAGTTGCTAATGCCTTTCTGGTTCAGATGGGACTCATCAAGGTAGGCTGGATCTCAAACATATCATTTGGTTCAAGTCTTTATCAGTGAATTAAACTAACAATTAGAAGCTTAATTGCAGAACTAAAATAGAACAACCCTGCAGAAAGGTCATCAGTATGTTTTTGGGAGTACTGTTCTTCTCTTGGATCCTTTGTATTGTTGTTTCCGTCGCTGACTATTGTTTTAGTGTTTCCTTCGCTGACTATTGTTTTAGTGTTTCCTTCGCTGACTATTGTTTTAGTGTTTCCTTCGCTGACTATTGTTTTAGTGTTTCCGTCGCTGACTATTGTTTTAGTGTTTCCGTCGCTGACTATTGTTTTAGTGTTTCCGTCGCTGACTATTGTTTTAGTGTTTTCGTCGCTGACTATTGTTTTAGTGTTTTCGTCGCTGACTATTGTTTAAGCATTGATAAAGACTGGTGACAATTCACTGGTTTTGATTGGCATTCCTTTTTGGCGAGTTTTGTGTTCCTGCATTCTATGGATGGTTTAGCACACGTTTTACTGTTATCAGGTAGTTAATGAACAGCTGGCTCAGTAATTACAGGAGACTCGGGTTCGATCCTTGATAAGAGATGGAATCTGTCAGGGGGTGCAAATAAAAATCCTCACAGCCGTGTTCATGGACCTGGGGTGTTAAAAATCTTCATGCTCACGGTGTGCGGGTATGTCATTATGCATCGTGCAATTTTTTTTCATGCACCCCACACATTCCCTCCCATGCTGCACTCCCTAAAAGTGGTAAGTACAGGCACTAAAGAGTATTTGTCCAGAAGTTTGGAAGTTTTATATATTGTCTTCCATTACAAGATGAGCTGTGGGCGACCGGCAGTGACCTTTGATGCACAATCCTCTTTGTGGCCCAAATGGGGCTTAATGTTTAGCATGGCTGATGTTGAATGAAGAAGAAGAATAGATTGAGATTGTCTGAGGTACCTGAGGACTATTGGCTCTGTTTGACTTCTTCAGGTATCTCTCTAAATTCTGTACAACCACTCAGCAACACACTGTAAGATATTTATGCAGCACTTTGTGGCTATGACTCTGATCTGGTCTAATCTTTGTTGAAATTGCTGTTGCTTATTATATTATTTTTTTGTCCAGATTTTTCACATACTTTATTTTCTTCTGCCTGATATTCTTTTTCACATATAGCTAATTTCTCTTATCCATCTCTTCTGTTTATATACTGTATCGATTTCATTTGTCTTTTTTCTGTGGGACTGACGAATGACCTTAGAAATCTGCAATGCCAGCAAATAAAATATAACATTCCTATTATCAGGGCGAGGACAAGAAATTTGCAGCCCCCAAAAGCATCACCGGTCCCTTGCTGGTTCTGGAACACGTGGTGAAGCAGACGTACTTTACAAAGGTTGCCAGGGAGATATTACTGATGTTCTTTATAAAGTAAGCCTCATTTTTCTTTTTTCACCTAAAGACATGTTAATTTTCTTCTTCACGTTCACCAGCTGTAAACTCTGTTAATCAACTTGAATTTTGTAAACTGTGGCTGAACCCATACCAAGATGGTTTTTTTCTCTCTCCGGAGTTGACCATCGGTCTGAGGTCGACCCAGCCTAAAAAATGGGTGCCAGGACATGCCGTAAGAGTTAACTAATTGGGGGTTTCCTTCTAAGGCAGAGTGCATCTGCTTGAGAGGCAAGTCTGCATACGAATAAGTCAGACCTGTAAAGCAGATGTGCACGCAACACTTAGGTTCTAGAAAATTATAAAGTCCAGAGGTAGGTGAACAACCAGAACTTTCCACTGGAGATTACATCAGGTGAACCAAAGAACTGCATTATGAACTCAGTTAGTAGAATACATGATTTAAGTAAACTGGACAGCCTAGCTCAATGTTGTGTTCTGTACTGATGATGGTGCTTTGCTGTCTTCCAAATGAAATCAGATTCAAAGTAAATGAAAGCACACACTTGATGGGAAGTCCCAGCAAATTGATCAATACAATATTCATTCATAAGGAATACAGGTAATGGGCATAAAGAAATACATGTATCAGGGACTTTCTAAATCACTGAGGGTTACAGGAAACTCTGGTCAGCTTGGCTTTAAACAAAACCAGTTAGCTCAAAGGACACCCCAGCCCCAGTGTTTACATGGGCACATCAACAGCCAGCAGCATTAACTATGTGTCTCGTAAACAGATCACTATAATGGACACACTGGAACAGTGACATTGACAGGAAATCTCACTTTACAGGTAAGCAAAAGATAAGAATTGGTGAAAGTTAGTAGTTGCCCTATCCCTGACCCCATATTCATTGCATAAATTTGAACCTTTCTCTTCCGCCATGCAGGCCTCACCCGCTGATGGAGAAGTCGTCAGAAGCCAGGCACAGGATTCTGCAGACATTACATTCAGTTTAGAAGCAGTTGTTTTAGTTTATTTTACCAGTGTCATTGATGTAGCAAATGAGTTGTTGTTGCATGTAATTATAATGTCTTATATTGGTGGTTCTCAGATCAGATCTGCAAGGCTCCTCTTGTTTTCTAAGGTCTCTCACTGCTGTTTTATGGCTTCTGTTTAAAAAAACCTGATTAAACCTATATTAGAATTGCCCCCCAAAAAAGCAGGAGTTGGTGTGTTGTAAACGATATCACAAACCCTTTAAAATTGATAGGGTGTATGTGGTGGTTTGGGAACCACTGTCCTAGACGATAGCATGGAAGATGGCTGAAGGGAGAAAAAACAGCACAAATTATTACACGTTGTACTTGAGTTGTCCATCTCTGTACAAGCTCCTGTCTACAATGACTGTACAGATATGTAGCATACCAACAGTTTCCTCAAGTATGGTGTGTATCTATTCCAGTGTGAGAATGGAGATTGCTTTTCAACAGATCTCAAGTCCTTGGTTGTTGCATCCCTTCAACAATTAACACCCCCCCCCCCCCCAATCCGTTCTATTATGCTATTTGTTTCTTCTTCTTCAGCATGTCATGTTTTTATACGCTGCCTGCTGGCCAACCGAGGCAGCCATCCTTATGTTTGTGGTTTCATTGTTATCTGGTGGTAAATCCACAATGTCATGATTCATTCAGAATTCACCAATGCCTCATACAATAAGAACAAGGCAAAACACAAAACTTGAGTTCTCTCTTTGTATTCTCCTAACTTCATAGCAATAAAAGGGATAATATTCTCATACCTGACAGTGAAGGAGGAAAAAAGAACATATTTGCAAGTGTGGAATGTCTCACCAATTACAAACTTTTAAACTTGAGATTAGGAGGAGACATAGTGTGTGTCCACATGGTGTGAGTGATACTGGTCTGTTCCATAGCTTGTTTTATTACTAACAACTTATCTGATTTTAAAATATGGCCGTTCAACAGTCTAAATCTGTACACGTCCCACAACCGTTACTTGAAAGTGGTGCTACATGACCAGAAGGAGTTACGGGGTTGAAATTAAAGGGGTGACCTCTGCATATAGAGCACAAGTTTCTTTGCAAATATTGATTTGGCGTTTTAAGTGTCAGAACACATTATATGCTGGTTGCGAGTGTGAAGAATTATAACTGTCCAATCTAGTTGGCAAGGCACTTGATGATTTTGAGGTTTGTTGACCAGGTGTAAACTGAAATCCCCCCCCCCCCTTTTTTTTTTAAACTGGAGATTTGAACACAACAACCTGTTTGGAAGCATGCATTCTAGCCATTATGCCGCCATGGCATCCCACTTACATTCAATGGAAACAAAAAAATCAAGGGAACAATAAGGGCAGCAGTCAATAGTCAAACTGTTATTTCCAAGTGCTAAAAAAAAAAAAAGGTCTCTGACATCTATTTTGTGCAAGGTATGTACAACAACAACAACATATCCAATAACAGTAATCATATTTCTGACAGATGTGCACGTATCAAGGAACTAACATGTGACTTCCGCTGTAGGTTAGCAAACAGTGAGATTATCAACAGAATCTAACGATTCAATCAAGAGATTTGGGTGCTGCTCAGAGTTGGTGCCACAACAAATCCCTTGCCTGGAATTGTCCAGCGGGCTCCCTTGTACGAGGCGATTCTCTCACTATCCGTGCGTACGTCAGGTTTCAGAGTCTCCCAGATTTTCTTCTTTGGATTCAACTGCTCGTCTGGTTTTCCTAGAGATCAGTAATACCACTTTCATGTAACATGGTCTTTAATTAAATAACACTTCTGAAGTCATGGGATTATGTTCCTAGGAGCATAGTTCTACAGACTAACCTGTATTAACCTGTTTTATTGTCAACATTACATCAACCGCTTTTACTTGCCAGAACATTTCCTTGTGCATACTTTGGGCTTGGCCAACATGAGAGCACAGAAAGGGTTCTTTATAATTGTTGAAAATTCCATTTAATGCACTTCTGTTGTATATCAACATTTAATCAGCCTTCTCTTTCTCTAGGTTGTTACAAAAGGGGAGGGGGGGGGGATGCAGCTGTTGCTTTAAGTGAAAGAAGTGTGATACATTGAGCATATACTGAGACAAAGCAGAACAAGAATCACAGAACAGAAATGGCAAACAAATAGACTGAGCAAACAAGCACACACAATCTTTTTTTTTAAATAAAGGACCCTTTTTCACGTCTTTAGGCTTATAGGGCTAGACCTATATTTTTATAGACCAATCGGCACAAGATGGGTGATGTGGTCAGCATCACGCCAGCCGCCTTCCAGGGACTGCACCCGGTACCCACTCAAGACTGGGTCGACCTGGGAGCCACGATCATTTTTGAAAAAAGTCCCACCCAGCGAGGGAGCGAACCCACAACCTTCAGATCCACGGCGAGCTTTTAGCCGCTCTGCCACGGTGGCTCCCAAAATAAGGTAAAGATCCTTTTTCAGGCCTTGAAGTGCATCAGGCACATGGGAAGAGCATCTCATATCTTTACAGACCGATTGGCGCTGGATGGGTAATGTGGTCAGCATTACGCCGGCCATCTTTACTTTCCGAGGACAGCCATCCTGGTACCCATTTTATGCTGGGTCGACCTGCGACGCCCCATACCATGATAAAAAATCCACGCAGCCAGCAATGGGTTTCGATCACTATTATGTTTGAATTACGAGTCGGACCCGCAATGCCTTAACCATGGACACCGCCACCAAATCTATAACCAGCATTAATTGGAGAAATGAATGGCGTTGATTAGATTCCATACACAGTATCGCAAAAACTGCGCAGGATAGAACCAAACAAGAAAAATTAGCTGTGGTACCTATGTGAATCTTGCAGTCTAGAGGGGAACCGATAAACAATTACTTGACCATAAGAATGTTTTTGTTGTTTGAGCTGCCAGCAGTGTTGGCACACATTAACATTTATATATGCTACCTGGTATGTGCGCTATCGCAAATTGTAAACTGCGCTGTTGTTGGTTTCACCATACCCCCAACACTGAGATCCACTGGTTCCAGAATGTGATCTGCACATAACTGTCAGAATGCAGTTCTGGTTCACAGTGCAACTTGAGATCGGTGTGCCGAGCTTCTCTCCCTGACCATGGCATCAACACTTATTTCTGACATTAAGATAAAAGTTGCAGAAACTCATATATCTTAGCCAGTATTGAACCACAGAAGGGAAATGATAAAAGGTTTCAAATGAAAGATAGAGGGAGGAATGAATGTTCCCTCATTTCGTCAGTAAAGTAAAGGATCATTTCATGTCAGCAGCATATGGTGCTGGACTCGTATTATTGTAGAGCCATTGGCACTTAATGAGTGACATGGTCAACATAATGCCAATCTCCTTTACTTCCCAGGGTTTTACCTGGCACACATTAAAGTCCAACTGGATGCAGAATCGAACCCAGGTCAACAGGCAAAAGTCTAGCTGCTGCACTACCCCAAATGCCCGTAATTTCTTTAGAAATATACATACCAGGGTACTCTTCAACGACAATCCTGTCACCGATCACGGAGTCCGTGGGTGGAACCAAAATCTCTGTTTTCTGTGGCCCCACGGCGCACATGATCATTGCCTCAGACAGGACCCCTCGGATCTTGGCTGGTTTCAAGTTACACATGAACACGGCTATCCTGTCTTTCATCTGGAACAGAAATGTTTCCTATCATACGAGGGGACTTTTGTCCATCATCTTGAACAGAAATGTTTCTGTCATATGAGGGGACTTTTGTCTATCACCTGGAACAGAAATGTTTCCTATCATACGAGGGGACTTTTGTCTATCACCTGGAACAGAAATGTTTCCTATCATACGAGGGGACTTTTGTCTATCATTTAAAACAAATGTTTCCTATCATACGAGGGGACTTTTGTCTATCATTTAAAACAGAAATGTTTCCTATCAAACGAGGGAATTTTCATCCATCATCTGAATGAATGTTTGTGGTCACATGCACACATAGAACACTTCCTTAAATTAATGCACTATTTCTGGTTACAAATAAACATAACTATATATAACAGCAAACAATGGTGAGTAAGTAAGCAGCAACAATCGCATTCATAATCTGTCATCACTAATTGGTCTAGAATTGTGAAGGTTTGACAGACTACAATGGTTGAGCCAAATTAAGAGAAAAAAAACTACATTCATACCAGTTGAATAGGAACCCCACGTGCTTTCACAGCCAAGACATCTTCACTGTCTTGTATCCACCTTCGTGAGGGTCTGCTTTGTTTTCTGAAAGCTTCCATCTGTGTTCTCTCTCCACCACAATAATACCCCAGCTTTCAGGACTGAATGCTGCCTATGAGCACTTATCGATGCCAAGATCATGTCATTTGTTAGTTTTCTTCTTTCTTATCCATGAATATTTCTGTAGCATTTAAATTCAAAAGTTCAAATTGTTAGCTTCAGTGACTGAGTAAGAAGAGTTCATGTCACGTCTATAAGCTGCTGTGAGACAGATTCATGATCTCAAAACTGGAGATTCCTTTAAAGCTTGCATGAGCGGCTGGCCGAATGGTTAGAATGCTGGACTCTCAAGCAGAAGACCCAGGTTCAAATCCTTGGTAAGGCTGGGGACTTTTCTGTCAGGGTCAAAATAAAATCATCACCTGCACAGTCATGGCAACAGCACTAGCCATGCGGCCGTAGAACCTCAGACTCAAAGACCCCCTGCCTTCACCACAAATGTGGTGTAATAAAGGCAGTAATTGGCAGTTGTTTTGGCTTCCGTTGAGAGTTTCTAGGGATATTATAATATAGCAGACTGTTAACATACACAATTTGCAAATCAGGAAATGTTCAACATTAAACATGACTTTCTGTTATCTGCAACCAACCTCCCTCCTCCCCAGCATGCACAAACAACAATTCTGTCGTCCCTCTGTTAGAAGACAATATACTAAAGCAACCTAAAATAAATAAGACATGAGGACTCACCGCGTTCACAGGGAAATGCTTCACCAGGCCACTGACTACTGTCCTGTTGCGGCCCTCCCCAAGATCTACTTGCTCAACATAGAGAGTTTCTGCATCAGGGTGTCTCTCTACGGCCACAATTTTACCAACTCGGAGGTCTAGTCTGGACACGTCTACAGCACCGTCGGCAGCCTGGTCACCACTGGCCACAGCGTCTGCCTTTTTAGGTTTCTCATCACCTGTACAGTCAGGGAGGGTAGAAACCAGTTACTGGGCCTCTGGCTACTGTCATGCAGCAGTTTACAAGATGAAAAACATTCTATGCAATCTTTCTTTGTCAATTAAAATGAGAAAGGTTCTCAAGATCTGTATAAATCCCATCTTGAGATATGGAAGTGAATCATGGACAGTTGGAGAACTAATGAAAAATTATTTGGAAGTGGCAGAGATGTGGTTTTATAGACAATTGGTATGAATACCCTAAATAGATTGTTAAAACAAGCACTGACTGCCCAAATCAGAAGGAGACGATGTACATTCTTTGGTCACTTCATAAAACGAAGAAAAACTGAAAACTGCAGTGACACTTGGAAAAGAGACAGAGAAAAGATGCTGGAGTGTCTGACATCTAGGCATGTAAGATCATCTGTGTTAGAACTGACTGAAAACACATGAGACTAAAGGTTGTGAACATATATGATTACCAACCTCGCAGAGCATGGACTACAAGAAGAAGAAGACTAAATACACCACCCCCCCCCCCCCAATAGTAACTCAGTGGCCAGCACACTAACCAACCCAGCAATCGTAGGTTTCAGTTCCTGATAAACTGAATGTTTATAGTTGACATGGTCTCCCAAGCCAACCCTACCTATAACAGCGACCGGGAAATATCCTTGGTTGCAAAAGCGGCCAGCTTGATATTAACCACACCAACGACAGGGTGCTGACTGATCTATACAAACCAAGTTTTCATAAGAGCTATATAAGTCCTTTATTGATATATGGAAGTGAATCCCTGGCAGCTGGCCGATTTGTGAAAAATTATTTGGAAGTGGCGGAGATGTGGTTTTACAGGCGAATGACGAGACTACATAGGAAAGATTAACAACAACAAATTGAGTAAAGACGATGTTTTGAAAGAAACTGACTGATAAAAATAACTGACTGCCCACATGCCTTTGGTCACGGCATAAGAAGATAAAAACTGGAGTACACTGTGATGGTGGGGGGAAGTTGACTGGCAAAAGATGTAGAGGGAGACCCACAGAGAAGATGCTGGACAGCCTGACATATGGACAGTCTGACATCACAGCATATGGAAGATGACATATGGACAGTCTGACATATGGGCTGTCTGACATATGGGCAGTCTGACATATGGGCTGTCTGACATATGGACTGTCTGACAGATCGCTGACATGGACAGTCTGACATACAGCACGGATCATTTGTCGGTAATTTCCCCAAATCGTGCAGCTATGCCGCTCTAATTCTCAGTACTTTGGCTAGCATGTGGGGAAAAAATGTGCCACAAACTAAAAATAACCAATCAATCAGGATCAAACCTTATGGTCAACCATTGAAATGTCTGTCAAATGGTGTTTAAATAGACTTTGTGTGGTTGAAACGAGAAAAAATTCAAAATGGCTGCTGAACCAAACATTTCAACAGAAAAGCGAAGTAGGTCTAGGCTTTTCACTTTGGTTGATTCAGAAACTCATCAAGAATACCTTTCCAGTTTCAAGTGACACAGACAGTGAGAGCTCGAGTGATGAGGAGAATCTTGAACCTTATAGATCCAGAGTTAGATTGATAGTCAAAGAAGGGGTGCGTGTACCTCAAACAGCTGATGGGGGGACATCCAGGTGGTGATGAAGACTGGACAGGGAATTTCGGATCACCCAATACAGATCTGAATTTCAATAAGGATGGGGAAAGCCTAGTGAATATTTCTAGATCTATTAGAGAGAAGAGTGAACTGATTGACTTTGTAGCCCTGTTTTTGAATGATACTTTCTGACAAATTCAGAAACTGTGCCTGCAACTTATTGGTGGATACAGGACATCAGCTAACCACCACCCATACAAGAAACCTTGCCTTCAACGGACAGCCCCAGGCAATTATTATCCAGAGAATCCCCCCTGGGACATCATCTAATCATTTCTGTGTTGTGTGCATGGAAAAAAAATCCAGGTACAACAAGCAAAATCCTGGAGCGTCTTACAAAGACAATCCATACAAGAGGGTGAAGAGCAACAGCTGCTGCTCACTTTGCAAGAAGTACTTGTGTGTGAAACAAGGCTCATCGTGCTGGGTGGATTGGCACACAGATTTGCTACAATGTCTTTACAAAGTTTCAACTGATTCTAACCACTTGTTTGCATGTAACTAACATTTGTTCTATATTTTATGCTCAGGAGTCCAGGTATAGGGGACAGTTAGGTTCATGGCCTCAGGTCTGGTAGGGTTAAACTACACAAGTCAAGATTATAGATAGACAATGTCACATGACATAGACTGTAAGAAGACCCAGGGTCAGTCCACAGTTAATGCTCCTGTTCCTTCTGATGCTCCTGTTCCTTCTGATTGTTTACAAGACAAAATGTAGGAAACCTTTAACACAGGCACATTGATCGCTAACAAATATAAATTATACAAGGGAAAAACATCAACCAGCAACAGAAGCAATATACCCCCTCCAGATAAACAAAACATAGACAAATGTGGGTTGTATGGTTAGCTGTGCTCGCAAGTCTTCTACTAGTGTTCACTGGCTGTATGTGAACTCCGGCAGAAAGTTATGGCTGTTTATCCACATCTGGACTTTGGTCCTCTTTCAGAACTGTATTTTTGTATGCACACCCATTTTACAGATCTGGCTTTTTTGTGTGTGCAGACTGTTGGTTTCTCACCTCTCAGGCAGATACACTTTGTCTTCAAATGAGACCTCTAATTAGTCACCTTGTACCAAAGGCTTGGTAGTGAGCCAGTGGGTCTATTCTTCTTTCCCCCAAAATAGGGCACCACAACCTACATGAGGAGCTCCCAAGTCTGATGTGTTAGCAGTTAGGTCTTCTAGGCTACCTTGCTGGGCTTGCAACTTTTGCTGGCACCTTTCCAGACAAGAGTGTCTTAGACAGGTGTGGACATCACAGCCAATCAAGGCCAGGGATGTACCTCCTCTCCTGTTTTACTCAGTCAGCATGATCCCTCCCTTAGCCTGCTGTATTTACTCCAAGAGAAAGCTAACACAAACATATCAGGAGAAGAGCAAGCTGACGTATCAGAAAAACAGCACTCTGTCCAACTTGCAGGGTCTTCCTTCCTAGTGCCCAGCTTGCAACTAATGAAGTGACATTAGTGTATAAGAGAATTTTCTCCCAAACCTGGTAGCAAATTATCATCTCCATGGCAATTTGTGAAGAGTTCTCCTACCCTTCTGCTGTCACAGTCACCAACAAGAGGTAAAAGACTAGTACTGGAAATTCACATCAGCAGAGAGGCATGTTAGGATGTCCATGATTAACACAGCTCTTAAAGTCAATGCTGTGTATTGTTATGGTCATATCTGTCGACAACCTTCTGTCTTGTGTACTTTGAATCAACTCTGATACAGATGATCCTCCATGCCATGATGTCAGACTATCTATTATCTTTTCTCTCGGTCTCCCTCTGCATCTATTCCCCTCCAACTTTCACGATGTAGCCAAGTTTTCTCCTCATCACATGACCAAAGAACCTAGACTGTCTCTTTCTGATGCAGGCAATCAGTTCTCTCCGTGAGTCAGTTTCTCTCAAGATATCTTCATTATCTTTTCTTTATATTATCATCATTTGTCTATAAAACCACATATCTGCAACTTCAAAATAAGTTTTCACCAATTTACCGACTGTCCATGATTCACTTCTGTATATAAAAATAAGATTTATATAGCTATTGAGAATTCTCTTTCTGGTCTAAACTGTCAAAGAAAGATTGCGTAAAATAGTCTTCATGCTGCCTCTGCTTGAGCTATTCTACATTTAACTTCCTCAATACTGCTTCCATCTGATATTTACAGAGCACAATCAGATTAGTCTCAGTTTGTCCTCAACATTCTTAGCTATTTCACTGTAATGACTTCAACTGCCCCTCCCATGGACAAGATGGTCTATTTAAAAAAACCACTATAAAATAGAGAGAGAATGTTACCTCCGCCAGTCTTTCCCTCCTTCCCTTTCTTGTCCACTTTTGGTTTCTTCCCTCCAGTCACAGGTTGGTCCTCCTGTTTTGTCTTTTTATTACTAGCATCTTTGACTTCTTTTGGTGGTTTCTCACTTGGGGAGACCTCCACGTTTCCGTTCACCAAAGGAGCTGCTTGTGAAGATAAGGCTGCTATGGCAGCTTTGGTGGGCAGCTGAACTTGACGAACTACAAAGCAGAGATTTTTTTTTTAACAACAAATATATCTGATACATCTACTAACAGAAGATAGTTGTAAACTGAAATTTAGAAAACACCCCCGCCAAATGAACAAACAGACTTTCTTTTTGAAGGTCTTAAAATCAGGCTCACAGGCCTGTCGTACATACAACCCTTTCCAACAGAAACTGTTTTATTTTTAAATTATGTGATGTTGATGACACAATGTAATGAAGCATGATGTGGCTTACAAACACCCCCCCCCCCCCCCCAGCAATGTAACACGCAGAAATAAACAAGTGGGGAAGTGTTGAGGCCATGGAAACTGTATAACAAATGAACAGACATGTACTGATAGAAAGAGGTAGAGATAGGACACACTAGCCATTGACAAGTTTCGTAACTGGTAGGGTAACTATAATTTATGAGTTTTATACTGTCTAGTGTGTCCTTCTATCTATCTATGCCAGGGCTATTTAACTGACAGGCCTGCAGGCCAAATACGGCCCATGGAGGCCTAGCAAGTAGCCCACTGATTGTTGCCAGTTGTATCAACAATCTTCCTTTGCTTGGGCTCAGGTCTCTGGCAATTCCTTTCTTTTTAGTTTAGGTCCCTGTGTAATGCGGGATGATACCTGGTTAGATAAGCTTTCTATAAGCAAGGATCAGTACATGTCAATCTGTTTATTATGCCAACTGTTGTCAGACACATGGGCGAAGTTTTCTGTTTGCAGCTACTGTTTTTTGCCCAGCTACCAGTCTAACAATGAAGATATAGTGCAACTACTTCCTTTCCTGTCATCAAAATATGTAGATTTCTGGAAGGCAAAAGTAGAGATCTGCTTTTCAGTTACAATAAACAGAGGAAGCTCAGGTCAACAGGCCTTCACCAGCGAAAAATAATTTAAAAAATATCCTAAAGCCAGAAATCTATAGACAAGTAAGCTCTCTACTCAGCATAGAGAAATTACAGATCTGTGTTAGTTTAGACAATTGCTCCTACAATTGCTCTCTGTGAGATAGTGGCTGTTTGGGATTTGAGGTCATGGGTTAAACTGGATCTGAATTCCAGCAAGACTGAGTTTTAACCCCAACACATTAGCATTCTAAAAGAAAAGTCAGGAGTCAAAGCCATACTGGCTAACTTGACCTACTATAAAATATTTCCTGCCAATGCTGTGTACAAAAGTCACTTTGGTGTGTAAAGCGTGTAGCTGTCTGTCACTACACACCATGTAGGTGTTTCTGTCTGTCACTACACATGTAGGTATATCTGTCACTACACACCATGTAGGTGTTTCTGTCTGTCACTACATATGTAGGTCTTCTTCTTCTTCTTCGCGTTCACCAGCTGTACACTCTGGCGGAAAGTTCTGGTTGCTCGTCCGCTACTGAACTGCAGTCCTGCTCCAGAACCTGAGTGCTGCGTGTGCATCAGTTTTTACAGATCTCATTCTCTTGAATACACGTTGGTTCCTTTGCCTCTCCGGCATGCAGGTATATCTTCAAAGGAAGTCACAATTAGTCGACTCTTACGACATGCTTTTAGGTGTTTATTCTGTTTTCCCACAATCACTGAACATCATGTAGGTGTAGGTTATATCTGTCTGTCACTGCACATCATGTAGGTGTTTCTGTCTGTCACTGCATATCATGTAGGTGTTTCTGTCTGTCACTGCACTTCATATAGGTGTTTCTGTCTGTCACTGCACATCATGTAGGTATATCTGCCTGTCACCGCACATCATGTAGGTGTATCTGCCTGTCACCGCACATCATGTAGGTGTATCTGTCTGTCACAGCACATCATGTAGGTGTATCTGTTTGTCACTGCACATCATGTAGGTATATCTGCCTGTCACCGCACATCATGTAGGTGTATCTGTCACCGCACATCATGTAGGTGTATCTGTCTGTCACCACACATCATGTAGGTGTATCTGTTTGTCACTGCACATCGTGTAGGTGTATCTGTCTGTCACTGCACATCATGTAGGTGTATCTGTCTGTCACCGCACATCATGTAGGTGTATCTGTTTGTCACCGCACATCATGTAGGTGTATCTGTTTGTCACTTCACATCATGTAGGTGTATCTGTCTGTCACTGCACATCATGTAGGTGTATCTGTATGTCACTGCACATCATGTAGGTGTATCTGTCACTGCACATCATGTAGGTATATCTGCCTGTCACCGCACATCATGTAGGTGTATCTGCATGATCGGGCTAGAGTCACAAGCTGCAGCTTCGTGTATACAGTTCGCTGGGGTATTTCGCCCATGTTCTGGAGAGACGGCCGATGTGTGGAAGACTGACAGTGAGTCATTAATCACCAATTTATCCTCGTGGCAATGTGCTCATCCATTATAAGGAGACTGATCTCGCTATAAGATCTTATTTGGAGTTGTGTATTGTATTACAGCATTCTTGGTGTTAGTGTTGATGACAGGACATGTAACCCGTGCCAGATCTACTGTGGCTGTTAACTCGTGATACGTATTTTTGGTGTATTACGGTGTTACCTTTTGGGCTGTCCCTCTTTTGCTCCAGTAATAATCACCATTAGCAAGTGCCGTGCTAATAAGAGTGGGCAACATTGGTTTATAGTATAGTGTGCCATCAGTTTATATATATGCCTGTAAACTGCATTACATAATGGGAATTGTCAATTGACATTAATATCGCTGTTAATTATAGAAGAAATAGATGAAAGAAAGAAAAAAAGACATATACATAAGAAAGTGAAATATGGGAACAGAAGATGAAGGCGGTGGATTAGATGACAACGGGGGGTGACGAGGAGAGGAATTTAAAAAAATTTTAATTTCTAAAAAATAAAATATCTCATATCCATACCTGCAATTTTTTTAATACTATCAATCTGATCCTGCAAGCTTGCCAACATAGAATCTGCCCGTTCAGCCCGTGCTTGGAGCCTTGCAAAATCATCAATTGTAGCCATTCTGGGAAAAGTAATCAATAAAAATCATTTTTCAGTTTTGTTGACAAAACCCAAAAAAAAGGACAAGCAAGGAGAACACGAAGAGACAAACATTAAAGGCTTCTTGCTGATAGCTTCAATTGTGTTGGTTTCTGACTGGTACAGAAGTATTGACAAGACTAAATATCACTGTGGTTTCTTTTCACTCTCAGCTCTAGTAAATTACTGTTGCATAACTTTTCTTCTTCAGTTAACCTCTCTGAACTGCTGAATCAAATACATAAACCACCTTACACTGGCAACTATGAATCTCTTTTAACTACAGTGAAAGGGCCGGAAATGCAATGTTACTGACATGTAATCAAATCTAACGGCCTTTTAAGAACAATACTTCAGGGCTTAGCAGAAGGGAAGAGGCACACCAAGGAAGACCTGAATACAGATTCTGATTGACTGGACAGGCTAAAAGCATGCAACCATGAAGTCCACTGTCTCTGACATCAAAGGTGGAGGCAGCTGATCGGACAGACAGACAACAGCAATGGGTGACCCAACGACACACAGTGTTATGTGATGATGATGACCAACCCACCTCACACTTTGAATCCTTTCCCACGTATGTCTACATACACATACAAGGTCCGACAATTAAGTAATGAGACTGATTTTATTATGGCTAAGACAAAAATGCCATTTATAAAGTATAGCATGGAATCTAAAGAGGCAACATTCATCTGTGATCTGGCAACTTTTCATCGCCACTCGATAAACAGACATTAAACCCGCTGCCATTTTGTTGAATAGCCAAAGATGCATTGTTACGTAATCAGCACGGAGCAAAAAGCTAACATTAATTTCTTTTTAAAACTCAGAAAAAGCGCCACTGAAACTGTTAAACTGATGCAATTAGTTTACGGGGACAATTGTTTATCTCGTGCACAAATTTTCAGGTGGTATTCACAATTCAAAAGTGGTGTGGAAATGATTACTAATGCACCTAGACCTGGACGCAAAATTTCTGTTCGTAATGATGAACTCATTGCAAAAGTGAGAGAGTGGATACAAGAAGATCATTGTTTTACTGTGAGAATGATGGCAGATGAATCTGGTGTTAATAGAGAGACCATTCATAACATTTTAGTGCAAGATTTAGGCAAGAAAAAAGTTGCTTGCCGGTTTGTACCACATTCGTTGTCTGATGACCAAAAACATCAGTGAGTTAGAGTATATAAAACTATATGTACATGTAATGGGATTAGAGGTCATGGGTTCAATCATACTGGCTACCTTTACTTCCTTGAATATTTCCTGTCAGCCACTGTAAAACAGATGTGCACACAAGTTCTGGAACAAGACCAAATTCTAGAAGCGGATGACCAATCAAAACCTTCTGCCACAGTGAACAGCAGGTGAAAGCAAAGAAGAAGAAGCCCAGGTCAGTTTATAAAATCTGGCTTGATGGAGCTGCAAACTACATTCACTCGATGACTACTCTCTGACAAGCATTCATAAAGGGTGCTAACTGAAGATCTGCGGAAATCAGTGTGGTGGGCAGCAAAGTACAGATATCCCAGCCCGCCAGTTAATAACACTGCAACATGCCTTTTGCGGTCCTAAGCAGCACAGACCTACAGCCTAACTATACAGTCACAACAAAAATCCCAGGTATTGACAGAAAGGCTGAAGAATGTTACCCAGAAATGTATGCAAAAACACTTGAACGTGTCTACAGCTCTTATCAAAAATCTGAATGAACACACATATAGACCGATGGATCATTGGAGGGAGCAGAAAAAACCCAGAGGAGATGGATTGGTCATCATGTTGCACGATAGGATCATAGTAGAAACATCATGCGCCTTCGGAAGACTCTCAATAAACTTCAGAGCAGAGCAGCAAGCAATTACAGATTCAGCCAAAGTGCTTGAAAAATTAAAAACAGCAAAATTGTTTTCCTTTGTGACTGCATGTCAGCCCTCCAGGCAACTCAGAGGGATCCACGAGACAACATGGAGAGAGAAGTGACCCGCCATCTAAACAGACTCTCAGAAAACAATCAAATCTTTCTTCAGTGGATCCCGGATCACTGCGGCATACAAGGAATGAGTTAGCAGACAGACTTGCTAAAAATGGAACAAAAAGAAATAATACACACATTGACTGTCATTACCAGAAATCAAAAACACTTATCAAGGGAAAATACAAGGGATTGTGGAGAGAACCAACTAACAGTAAACATCCACAAGGACCCCCCTACCCCCTACACCATCAACAGAAAGCAAGATACAACATTTTTCCATCAATGAGCAGGACACTGCTGGCTCAACTACCACATGCATAAAATAAAGATTGTACAGTCCCCACAGTGTGCCTATCAAACAGGACCACAAACACCTGAGCACATTCTGCAGACCTGCCCACTCTAGCTACAACTTCGAAAAGACATCTGGCCTCAAGAGCAAAGTGCGCAGATCAAGCTGTGGGGAACCATGAAGGACCTGCAGCTGACATGTGAGTTCATAGAGGCAACCCACCTGATGGTCTGATCTGAGCAATGCATGATGTATTACAGGCTCTACTTCTGAATGACAGTGGCTCAGTCTTATGTTGTCTGACTGACACTTTTCTTCCTGGTTAATACAAATGGCTTCCTCATTGGTCAGTGTAATTGTGTATATAGTTTCTGAAAACAATGTACTCTTGATTCCATCAGTGGTTGTCCCTTTGGACATATGTTTGCCAAACTTGTTGGGACTGAAAAGGTTAAAGGTCAATATAGAGGAACCATTAATAGGTTTACTTTACTTAGTTGATCCTCATCTACCTTGAGGTTTACCGGAGAGGTCACCACACTTCTCTGTCTGCAGTTTTCTTTTTGGCTTTGTTTCATTCTAGTCCTTTGTCAATCAGAGATTGTCGGATGTTGTCTTCCCAGCAAACCCTGGGTCACCCTAGTGGTCTGGTTCCCTGGTTCTTGGCCTCGGACCTGCCATAGTGGTGAATTCTCTCCTGTTTTTGCACACATTCCAAACTATTGTAATTGTGACTCGTCCACTAGAATTTGTAAGGCAGAACAATTAACACACAATAACATGAAGATGATCAAACCTGTAAGTTGGTAGGTGAAAGATGGAATCAGATGACGCTGCTGCTGTGAATCTTGGGATTGCTGACTGAATTTTAAACAGATGTCTACCAGACCAGCAGAAGTATTGTGTTGACCTTGCAAGGATAGCGGTCACCATCTGCAAGATCAAAGTTCAATAACAATGAGCCAGTGTGTTATCTGACTCCCATGGGGTATTCAATTTTAGTCAAACCAAAAATGACCAAGAGGCAACTAATGACAATTGGCTTTAAGGTTGTCTATTCCATCGAGTACAAACTGAAGCCGTAAAATATAACTAATGAGAACAATGTCAAGTTTTTTATGAGGGAAACATACACAGAGACATTTTAAATAAGAATTGGAGTGTGACTGCAAGGATGTCTTAGGTCAAGTTGATAATCGGAATGTGACTGACAAGGATGTCTTTGGTGAAGTTAAGAATCGGAATGTGACTGACAAGGATGTCTTTGGTGAAGTTAAGAATCGGAATGTGACTGACAAGGATGTCTTTGGTGAAGTTAAGAATCGGAATGTGACTGACAAGGATGTCTCAGGTCAAGTTAAGAATCGGAATGTGACTGACAAGGATGTCTCAGGTCAAGTTAAGAATCGGAATGTGACTGACAAGGATGTCTTTGGTGAAGTTAAGAATCGGAATGTGACTGACAAGGATGTCTTTGGTGAAGTTAAGAATCGGAATGTGACTGACAAGGATGTCTTTGGTGAAGTTAAGAATCGGAATGTGACTGACAAGGATGTCTTTGGTGAAGTTAAGAATCGGAATGTGACTGACAAGGATGTCTTTGGTAAAGTTAAGAATCGGAATGTGACTGACAAGGTTGTCTTAGGTCAAGTTGAGAATCGGAATGTGACTGACAAGGATGTCTTTGGTGAAGTTAAGAATCGGAATGTGACTGACAAGGATGTCTTTGGTAAAGTTAAGAATCGGAATGTGACTGACAAGGATGTCTTTGGTAAAGTTAAGAATCGGAATGTGACTGACAAGGTTGTCTTAGGTCAAGTTGAGAATCGGAATGTGACTGACAAGGATGTCTTATGTCTTGTAAATAATTCTTAGTGACTACAGAATAGATTATGAATCACCACTAAAAATTAACTTTACTGGACTATGACAGAGCAGCTTGATGATATGAAACTAGATGATACCACATTCATGTCGCACACTTTAAGTTGGAGGAATTACAGGGGATGGCAACCGACTGGAGAGTTGCTTGGATGTTTAGCTGAGAATCTGTCCTTCAACAGAAGATAAAGAGGAGAAGAAATCAATGTAAAAAGGAACTTACTATGGCTGGGAGACTATAATAAGTGAAAACACTATTTACAGTAGCTCTTTCAAAAACTGATTTTAAAGAAAATAGTTTTGAGTTCAGCATAGAACTGACACAGCATACTGTGTATTTTAGGCCTAGATCATTCAGTTGCACATGGTAATGAGCAGGGTGATAGACTGGCTGCTGCTGCTCTTCTAGGCAATAGGCTACTTTATTAATAATGCAGATGTGATAAGTATCAAAACTGCAGAAACTTATCTGTAGAGTTTAGATGATTTTAATGAAGAGGGGACAAGACGGGCAAACTTTTCATCAGAATACTACTGGCACCATCAATATAGGAACTCCTCGTCGGCTACTGAAAAAGGGGACAACGCACATATGGGAATATCCCAAGTGCAATATCAATGCTTGATTCATTTATTCGTTTATAGAACCGACAACACTTGACATTCCCTTGAGTAGGATACCGATAAGCACTGTGTCCCAATCTTCAGCAGCATTAAGAGTGTTCCAGGATTAATACTTAGTGCCAGCAGCTGTTGGATTATAATTTATATGCTCATGTTGTTGACTTTACTCAGAATGCTGAGGGTCAATCAAATCATCTGGTCAGTCCCATTTGCGTAATTATTTCCAAATCTGTCTGCTTACAAGCTTGAAAAAATAAAATACCCTGTCGACTCGAATTCACAAAATTCTGATGTGTATGAAGTATGATAAACTTTGCGTATAAACTATATATAATAATAGTATTATTAATACACTGAACTTCAAAGAACAAATGATAAGGTACTTAATGGGCAACAACAACGACAACAACAACGCTTACGATGACTTCACAACGATGATCTGATGATATTTAATGTATTATTAATTAGAAATTAAGAAACTTTAGTGTAGACACAAAATAAAAATGAAACAATGAAAGTTGAAACCCATCAAACTAGAACTGGTTGCAGTGTGTCACAAAATCTTGACAAGATAAAGACTAAAGATTGATCACAACATTTTCTTAAAGTAATGTATTACGTAATGACGACTGCGCCCATGAATGACTTCAAGAATAACGATTAAGTCTCACTTGTACAGTCACAAGTGCGATGTTAATTACAATAACTGATTCTAAAATATGTAAACCGCTAGAGAACCGACCGATGTCGACGACTTGCCACATTAGCTAGTGCTAGAGCCGGGGCTGTGAGAGTGCTGGCCCCTGACTGGCCTGAGTCACCTCCCCCTGGCCTGGCAGACGACACAGTCTCTCTCCGGCCGCTGGAAACCCAACAGGAAGGGAATTCCAACTTCTCTCAACATGTCTTTTTCTTTTATACAATACATGTCAGTGGCAGGAATATATTTGACATGTAATTGTATGTCTCAACAAATTGGAGATAATACGTTGTGAGTATTATACAGACATGCAATTGATATTGTTATTTCTAGAGTCCCGTCATTGAATTCCGAACTGAACTCCCTCTCTTCCTTCCGCGTCTGACGGAAAACCCCAGACTCGGAGACTTCAGCTGTACGTTCATTCTATTTTTGTTGATTTATGGATAAATAACATTTCCACACGTTATTCTATAATTTTTTCTTTCTATAAAAGTAACTGTAACCTTTTTTTTAGATGAGTGGGTGGTATTTAATAATATCTGAGTTTAAAAAATGATTTCACAGTTATTGGGTCTGTTTATGAGTCAAAATAATATCCTTTCACAAGCACAGTATTACAGGCTACACGGGACTGGTGTGGCCATGACAGGTGACCCTAATTATAACTTCCTTAGAGGTTTGAACGAGGTATCTGAGATATGCCATGTTAGTTTGCTGTCCAGGATGAGATTCCCATTTTCTCAAGGGTGATCAACGCG